TCAACTGATCTAATATTGGTGTCAATTTTCCAAAATTACCGCTGAACTCATTGCGTGACTGTAGATGACCTCACACCCAAACCGAGGCTTCTCCGTTTGGTGACCGCTTACCGGTGGTCTATCATATCAAAAATAATTCGATAAATACTTTTTAAATACCTACAAACACGTAAGACCAATGATAGCGCTCTTCTCTTGAAGTAAATTCCATTGAGAGATCAAAAGATGACCACTAGTGTTAGCCCTAGTGGGTGTTAGCACGAAAGACTTTATCAAAGAGATAGTCCCCATCGGAATCCAAACCGGAGCTTATTTTATAGGGAAGAAGATTAGCTGGTAATTTTGATAATAAAAAAGACTGAAGAAAAAAAATTTAGATCGCTATGAGTTCTACCGTTCACAGAGCTGTGTAGTCCATTCCATATTACTAATATTCCAAAATTTTATTTTAAAAAACCGCTGACCAAGAAACTGCTGTTATTATTGTAGTGATCAGCTGAGGGAAGAGTACGCGTGTAAACAAAGCGAAACAAAACAATATCGAAGTCGTTTCGATGTACAACATGGTATCTCTAAAATACACCTTGATTTGCGCCTTTCATGACACCTGATTCCATAGAAATCAAAAGCGTCAGATTTGTAAGATGTGCGACTTTAATTCACTTCCACCTGAAATGATTTTAGCAATATTTTCTTTCTTGGATACACACAGTCTCTGTCAAGCATCACAGACTTGTAAAGACTGGTATGACTTTATTTACAATTCCGATCTTCTTTGGAAGGGGAAATGTTATTCTCTCAATCAAGAGGATATAAAGCAAGACATTGAATCTGGTTTGTGGTGGCGAAGTATTTTCATCCGAAATTACGGGACAAATCTGATAAAAAAGCGATGGCTTGAGGGAAGATACAGTCAAACAAAAGCACTCGACGAACTTCCTAGTGATATTAACCACCTTGGACCACTGAGTGCCGACACATGGGGATATATTCTGGATATGGAAGTCAGCCGAAGTACATAATGCAAATTGGAACACACTGGAGATTGGTACTACTTCTGAAAATAAGCTACCTATATTGATGCTCGAGACCAATATGTAATGGACTTAATTTGTCGACTTTTTCTTTTCCCATTGTGAGGGATTTAGCATTACGTTAGTTGGATAAATTTATAACCTACTCATTGCTACTAGACCGAGAAAGCATCCCAAGAGAACTACCCAAATGGGGCTCGAGATCCTCGTCCAACAGCAACAACATAATGAGAGGTTGTTTGTATGCTATAACAGTTGTTTATTGTTGTTGTCGTAGTCGAGAAGTATCGCAGGGTAACATCAATAGGGACAGGGGGACAGTCAATGTCCTAAACAGGAAATGGCCAATCACACTAGGTTTCTCTTGAGTGAATTGCTTAGAAACAGCTTATGAGGATCAAATTCTTCAAATGACCAAATAAATATTGTTGTGGTTCAATTTTCTCCTTGGTTCAAATTTTATTTTCCTTTGTTTCAAACTCATTATTATACATTACAATACCCAAAATCAAAAGAACATAAAATTTAAACAAAGGATAAAATTGAACCACAACATATACAAATAGTGATGAGACAGATTCATACCTTTAAGGATAAGAGTGAGGGACTTATCACAAGTCAGATTTCAAAACAACTGTTTAATATATTATCTTTCTAATATGTATATATACACAGTAACAATAATTTTTATAATACATGTGGCAATACCTGCAGATTGTAGCATACAGTTAAGTAAGCAAATACAAGTAATCTATAAAAAAATTTCCCACCCTGCAAATAATGAAGATATGGTGACCATTGGGTGTAAGTAGACAGACTGGAAGTTTATGGCATTAACCCTTTAATCCTAAGAATGATAAAAATCTGGTTAAAAGAGGGCTCTGATTTTTAAACCCAGCACATCAGTGCCCCCACAAGATCAATAATCTACCTTGAAATGTCAAACCATCATCATGTCACCATGTTATTGTCATCATCAAACCACATTTTAGAGTGTATTCTAGAATTTATTTTAAAATTTTAACATTCTTTTTCTTATTGTAAAAACTGCACTTAAGTGTAACAGATAGTTAATCAATAGATGTCTGTGTAAATAGGAAATATTAACTTTTTTCAAAATCACTTTTAAGTAAATGTATTAAATGTTTACAAAAGTATATAAAAAACTCTGAGAACAATATTTACATAATAACTTAGCTATAGTATGTGCAGAATATTTTAAACTTCCTAAGTGTTTTGATGTCTGCGAGCTAATTACCTCCTTTCACTTTTATAAAGTGTCTGAAAACAACAAAAAAAGAAATATTATAACAACTTTGTATGTGGAAAACAATATGAACATAAAATGTGTAATACACCATACAGAAAGACAAACATTGTGTGATGAGTATACTTTAGGGAAACTAATAATAATGATAATAATAACAATACTAGTAATAACAAAGCCATTCTTATAACTCATTTCACAAGTCTCAGTGCAATTACAAAGTTAGAAAAAAAATTGATTCAAACAAATTGGAAATAAACATAGTAAATAAACATCAAAATAGTGTTTAGGAACCCCAGTTGGCAGGATGCAGACCAGTTAGCCATATACAGGGCAACTGAAAATAAATCAAGTAAGTAGCAAGGTGGGGGGTTTGAACCTGAGACCACCAGATTACAAGACTAGCGACTGCACCACACAGCCACACTGCCCCCGGCAGGCTTACATTCAGTACAAGGCCTACCAAGGTGGGCATAGAGAAGATACATCTTCATTATCATGGCACTTGCTACAAAATACTTACCACAGCGAGTTTTTAGCTTCACTTTATTCTGTTAGGAAAAATTAATGATTTGAAATTATTCATACATTTATTTTTCCACATAACATAAAAAGATGGAAGTTTACAGAGGCCACAGAATTCATAATTATATCAAAGATGACAGAGATCACAGTGACTATCATTTTTATTCAAATTTAAAGCAGTTAAGTAATATTAGCAATTTTGAGGGGTGCAATGATCTGAGGAAACCCTACAGAAGCTGAAATTATTGTATTATCAAATTCTGTACCATCAATTTATCACTCAAATGGAACAAAATGAACTACAACAATACAACTCTACAAAATGTGGTCTTGTAATAATGTTTTTTTCTGTATAAAAAAAAATGGTCAGAAAGTAATCACATTCGATAAGGGTTGCTGCTGCATGTAACTTTACAGATGCAGTCTCAATCTTACAATTAGGAATGACTGTATCTAGTAACCGTTTAACTCCACAAAGAAGATAAAATGTGACCTCCCTTTAAAATTCACGCATTACCCAGCAAACAAATTTATCAGGTAATTAATACAACCAAACTGAAGAACAAACACATTTCACACAAAAGAAAATTACCAATTTCCATTTGAGCAATTCAATCCATTCTTGCATTTCTCGCACAGAGTCAGCATAAAGAAAAAACGTTCTGTCTGGAAAAACTAAGCTAAAAAAAATAAAAATTCACAAATTTTTATCAGTGGTAGATGAAATAAAAAAAACAAAGCACAACAGGTCAGGGTAATCTTTGTTTTTAATCCAGCAAACAGGTGATGAGAATACTCAAATTAATGGGGTAAAAGTTGTTACCTAGCTTGATCAACAAATCAAATTCTCGTAACTAATCTACAAGGAAATGTGTGGTAGCCGGAGGGAAGAATTAGCAATCAGATCTCGGAAGTTAAAGGGTTAACCCCCAACAGTATGACTCTCCACTAATACTCAAATCCACATCAACTATCCTGGTTTGTTAACTAAAAAATACCTGATGGATAGGTTTCTGTGCTATACATGTAATCAACATTACAATTTCCTCTTCTTAACAAATTACCTAAAGGCATTAGGCTTTCCACATGTGTCATTTTTAAAGACTTCTTCTGCTAGGCGGAGGTCAAGTACTCTTAAAGGTTTCTTATCCTGCAAAGAGGCAGTTGAAGTTTATATTTAGATATTCCTTTCAAGTGTGTTGATCAAGAATGAGTGCCAATTTTAGCAAGAACAATCATACACTGTACATTAAAAATCAAAGCTGTATTAAATTACTGTAACCACCTTGAGAGTTTAAACAGATAATATATCTAGTAGTAGTAGTTGCAAAAATAGTATAAACTTCAACCAATGTGCACCAATACCACAACATGCATAATAGCTACTACACACAATCCTTACCCCTCGTTGGTTATAGTACTGAAGCATATATCTATTTGTAACAAACCACCGTCTCTTCCAGTTCTACAAGAAAATAACATGGTTTCATAATCAAATAGTGTGATTTGACTACTTTTCTGAATTGATAGATGAATTTGAATGTTTACTTTTACATTTTATTTATTGAGTCTTTGGTACTTTCATAGACTTTCCTTCATAAGAAACAAATGAAGAGTGATTTTTTTTTTCTATCAAACATTTCAAAACAAATAAATGAATCTATGATGAGAATGTTTACCTTATGAACAGCTCCTCTTTTGGTAAGAAATCCTTCCTTTGATGCAACCTACAAATCACAATGAAAAAATTTACGGACAATTTTTTTCCCTACATAACTGGATAGAGCAATCCCATTAAAAAATAATGAAAACTCTAATACTTAACTTTCTACATGAACTCTGCTGCAAACCTTGGACCATAACCCTTTCTACCCTAACATCAGTGTGCATATTCTCCATTCTATCCTCTATCTATTTCCTTTGGTGCTGACAAGAAGAATTTGTCTGACCATTGAGAGCTAATATAATTGATTATCATTTCCTTTATTCTCAGGGCTTAATATTCAAATCTGATATTACCTGCTAGCTATCCTAAGGGGTTAAGGGGTTAAATCATTTCTAAACATTGAATTACTGCTAATTTCATACTGTTTTTTACTCACCGACCAATCCATGTCTGATGATACCTTTTCAGGTGAAATTGGGTTGGAAAAGGTGTGACACTTTAAAGAGCTCCCGCGCACTACATGTCTAGTGATGTCCTCATATACTGATGGCTCCTTAACCGTAGAAGGATATGGATAAGCAAGTGTAACAGCTTGACCTGTTTGTAATAGACAATCATCAAATTAGCAAGATACTGGTCAATTCAGTTTACATTATTTTGTTATTATGATTTCATAATCCAACAGTAGTATCACCTTAAAGCTTTTGAATATTAAGCAATGTTAGTAGGTATGCTTGTTTGATCAGTCTAAATATCAACTTGATAAAAATTAGACAGTCAGGAAGAAATTTAATGCCCCAAAAACCCAACCTTTTTTCAATAATTATACATAAGAGATTAAGAAGTTGAAAGAGGCTTCACATGAATGCCAAAGAATTAAATAACAGACAAAAGTAGATTTTGATTTCTGATTGATTTCAAATGGAGATGT